TGAAACTTTGGAACAAAATTGACACGGAACTCAAAAGGGTTCGTTCACTTATTACGTAACGCACTAGGGGGGGAGGGGGGGTCTAAGATTTTGTTACGGTTTGTTACAGGGGGAGGGGGGGGGTCTAAATTTTGTTACGTAACCTTTCAAAAATTATATTTTTTTATAATTTTTTCTATATTAATTTTAAATTTTTTTAACGTTAAATTTTAACTTAAGAACTTTTTAGTTATAATTGCTTTCCTTCTATTTACTTTTACATACTTAAAGGAAGTATAATAAACATTTGATAAACAATTTAAATGAAAAAAATTATTGTTACGTTATGGGGGGGGAGGGGGGGGTCTAAGATTTTGTTACGCTTTGTTACAGGGGGGGAGGGGGGGTCTAAAAACTCGTTTTTTTGCGTTACGTAATAAGTGAACGAGCCCAAAGTTCATAAATAAAGAATTTTATTTTGAAAAATTCTACAAACAAATAATAAAAGGGTGTAAAGCTACGCAAATAATAATCAAGGGGTATGAAATTTCCCCTTTTTATAAATTAAGGGGTGTGAAACTACGAAGAAGAGTGACAAAGGGTGTGAAACTAAACATCTGTTAACAAAATACATTTAAACTCATCAACATATCCTAATTTAATACAATGATTTCACAAAATTCTACTAAAACCTTAAAAGTTTTCCAGACACTAACCAATCGAATGCCCTAAAAATAACTCTCATTACGAAAATGATTCTGAAAATATTTTAAGAAGCCTTTTTTAACTTTTTTTATGACATTTACTTATGAATTTTTAATTCGTTTCTATTAAAAAAGCTAAGTTGTTCTATCGATTCTATTTTCAGACGGACTCTCACCTTTCATCGACGAATAAAATAATAAAATAAATAGAACCAAAGTTAAATCAAAGTCGAGGGTCGAGTCAAATGCCAAACTTGTGTAAAGATATTTTTGAAATAATAATCGAAGTGGTGTAATTGAGGTTGTAATAATCGTCATAGTAATAATATTTATAGTTTGGATATTACGAGGAGATGAAGGCATGCACGGGGAAATCGACACAATTAGAACGATAGTCGCGTCAGCATTTCCGTGAATGCGTGCGGGGATGATGTAGATTTTTGGAGGTTTATTATGGATTTGAAAAGATTTGTCGAGACATCAGACAGATTCTTGAAATTTAGACAGAAACCATGAATGCTAGACTAGATGTTCATAAAGAATCAGACAGACTTCCCAACAATTATTGAAAATCAGATAAATTTGACTATAAATAACCACAACATATCATAGGAACAGTCAATTACTCACCAAAAACCACCCCAACCTTCATCAACATTTGACCTATTCAATCATATTCTGACCAAAATTATCGCTAGAATCCACATCATTTCATTTATCAAAAATAATATATTGTGTATCGAGAACAATAAAACCACAAATTACAGTTCATTATCGTCTCAAAAATCCCCCAAACAGACCTTTCGACTTGCCATTAACAATGACAAATCTAACAGATTTTCAGATCGATAATTTGGTAAATGAATTTTTGAGTATCATAGACAGATACAGACATAAATAAATATGTAATGAATGCATGTAGATATTTTCTTTTCGACTTGTTGAATTTAGTTTTTATTAAAATTGAAGATGTTGAGGATTTAAAGTTGAATTTTTTAAGATGTTGCAGGACTTCTAAGGTTTTAGATTTTTAAGGTTATGTTGTGAATTTTGTAGCTAATCTCTAAGATAATTACTCAAAATATTGCTGCCATAAATCATCTTTATCATTTTTCATTCAAAAATTCAATTTTTATCTCACAAAGTGAACAAAAAAACTCCCCCAAAAAAATTCAATATTTAACACTTTGCTCACCTCGCCCCACCCTCTTACCCCAAACAATTCTCTCTAACTCACACATTCTTTTCCTTGTAAATCCAAATTTATATCACGATAGGATCTCGCATGATAATAAATTGAATAAAGAACAGCAAACTCTCTTTCAGTAAATTTTGTTATATTATACATTAAAGTGAAAGTATTAGCACCTCGCAATAACTCTTTTTACGCTCTTTCCTTTATTCTTAACATTTTTAAAAAGTTTGAATCGGACATGATATTTTTATTAGTTTTTGAACTGCAAAGCTAGTATTATATTAAATCAGCATATATTAATTATAATCTACCAAACAAGTTGATCAATCCATCGGTGCAAACAGGATCTTCTTATAAACGATAATCAATACAAGAGTCACAAGAAGTGCACACGATCCAATCAAAACAGACATCTAATAATCATAAATCATTGAACCTTGATCAATTTTGTAATCTTGAATTATTAATTTATCGTCCAAGTCTTGTCGGAATCTTCTCATTTCTATTGATTCATTGATGATGTAAGTGAGAATCTTGTCAATTTTTTCCTGCGAAGCTTTTTGATCTTCCTCAAATTTATCAACAACCTTTTGAATCGATGATATCTTTGAGATGATATTGCAGAATTGTAGAAGTTCCGAGTTATATATTTCCATTATTTTCTCTTTTAAATAAAAAGATTGGTTCACTTTAGAGTCTTTAAATTTTTCCTCAAGATCTTTGACTTTTTGCTCATATTTTGATAGAGTTTCAGAGATCGAACAAGTTGAAATGTTGTTGAATTGACTTAAATCATTTTCAATTGCTAAATACCCGAGTGGACAAAGTACTAGTTAAAAGCTTGCAATTAACTTGCCTGTTCATGGCGAGTAAGTATCCAATGACGTGCCTTTGCAACTAGACTTAGGGACGACTAATGACATATTTTGCGCTTTCCATTTAACTGGACGTAGGAATTGCACATATGTCTAGTTATTGTCCAGTTACAAAAAAATCGAAATAAAATAAATAACACGTGTCTTTTTCTCCCTTTTTTTTTCTTTTGTAAAATTTTATTATTGTATTAGTGTAATAAATTAATTAAAGTACACCAACACTTATCAAAAATCTCTAGTAAAAATTGAGTCTCGAACACATGCGCGTGAAACATTTATATTCACTTAAAAGTTTCATATAAATTAAGTGAGACCTTATATAAGTGATTTCTGTAAGCGCTTGTGAAGTATATGGTCAAAAAAGTAAGGAAAATTATTTTTGAGTTTCGAGCACTTGATTGATTAGCATGAATGTCAAGTTAAAGTCTAGTTAACGTCTAGTTCTCTATGTCGTTTAAATTTCGGCAAGTTAAAAGACTGTTAAATGATTGTCCAATAATGGACTTTAACTGGCTGTGTCCACCCGGGATAATCTTCATTTTGACAAACATTTTTGATTTCCATAACAAGCTTTTTAACTTTTGTAACATTAGATGAGACATGAGTGTTGATGCATTTATTACTGCTGAGCCACAAGTAGCTTAAGTTAACATGCTTATCAAATACATTCGTTCCAATATGAAATATTTTGTTGTTTGCAAAATCAATAAATTGAAGATCTAAGTTGTATTCAAACAAGTCATTATCAAGAGTCTCAATATCATTTTGCCATAACTTAAGATTTAATAGTTTGGCAAATGGCTTTAAATCCTGTTGATTCAGTTCTTTTAATCGTCCTTCGTAAATGTAAATTGCTATCAAATTGTTAAAAAACGTAGACAAGCCTCTTGGAAAATATTTAACATTTCTGCTTGATGCTACAAATCCAATAACATTGCTGTAGTTTTTGCCATTTTGTGATCCATTGATTGACGTGATGTTTGCAGATTCTCTTGAACCAATATCGAGGGCATTTTGGACAGAACATGTATGAATTGAGCCCAGCATAGTCCAACCATAAGAACTAAAATCGCATTTCACATCGATTGGTGCAGAACATTGCAAATGAAGAAATAAAATCATCAAACTGCGAAAAAAAATTAAGTTTTTTGATCAATTTCCTTTGATAACATTTTTAAATGCTTGGTCGAATAGCACAAGTCAGGTGCGTAACCAAGGGGGGGGGGGGTATTTTGGGGACGTACACAGAAATTTCTTTATTTTGCTAGGGTCTTAATGAAAAAATCACAAAAATCTCCCACCACCCCAAATTTTTTTTTGTCCCTGCCTCTTCAAATTCCTGGCTACGCCCCTGGCACAAGTCACTTAATTGACTCAAATCGACTCCAGTGGCATACCAGAGTTACTTGATGCCTAGCTTGATGCCGATTAACGGACTTGTGCTTTTCGGGTTTAAATACTTACAATATAAATTTAAATCTTGCCATTTCTACTTTTTTTGGATGTTCCTTCTCAACTTTGAGTTATGAAATGAGTTGATTGTCTGACAAGCTAATCCCATTTTATACAAAATTAAAGCAAATTATGACAAGGATTCATAATTGCGGTTTTGAATCATAATTGTTTTAATGCAAATGAGTCAACCTAGAACCAAATAAAATGTTCCTATGACGTAAATAAGCAAGCTACTAGCTTCAGCATTTAAGCAAGCAAAACAAAACTTTTCGATAATATTCACACATAAAATAAAACAAAAAAAAACAGACATACGCGAAGTAGAAAAAGAGAGCCGCGAGGAAGGCAAAGTTGGGCAATCAACACTGAATGAGTTGTGTGAACGGAAGTTGGGAGTGAGAATGTGGGGGAAAGATAAGAAACATACACGAATAAAAATTTCCGCAGTATAAGAACACAGCGTAGGACATAATTGTGATAAACTACGCAATAAAAATCATAATTTACTGTCTGGCGGAATGGATGAATGGAAGGAAAATGGAAATTGATGAAAATAAAAAGAAAGGCAAAAAGCGGATGAGCGAAAAGAAATAAAAACTGAATAAGAAATAGACAAGCCTTAAGTTTTATGCGAATGCGGGTCTCTGTGCAATGTGTTGAGGATATTCACACGTGATTTATGTTTTTACTTTGAAACTGAATATTTATTTAATTTTTAAAAATTCAAAATCTATGAAGTTACATAAAGTAGTCCTTACTGGTCAGGCGCTTAGCCAGGAGGGTCTTGTTACCCTCTTAAGCGTTTTTGGTCGTGCTCTCGCTGCAGGGGACAAGACCCTCCTGGCTTCGCGCCTGTTACTCGTTAACATCAGCATGAATCATGAAAAATAAGGAACCTGTCCTCCATTTCTTCTGAAAGCCACAACAGCAGCAACAGCGATGACAAGAACGAACAAAAATCCAAAAGATCCAAGAAAGAATATCAACCAATAGTTATGCTTGTCAGCCATATTGTCAGTCTTGTCATGCAACAACTCCAAATTATTTCTCAATGCCTCAAAATGCTCAATTCTTGAATCATCCAACTTTTTCTCAAAATCTTGAAACTTTTCCAAAATTGCCTTTGATGACTCAAAATTTGACTTTTTCAGGTCAACTTCGAGACTTGTTATCTTCTTCCTCAATTCAATATACTTCGGGTCATCACAATTTTCAGTCGTGAATGCAATGATCATCTTTACTAAAGATGGATTGCTGTATGCTTCCATATCAACGCAGGGATTAGATTTTAAGTACAGCGAGTGCATTTTAGGCAAATTTTCAAAAACTTTTGAACCAACAGTCATGATTTTGTTGTAATTAATCCACAGAATCTCCAGTTTCTCATTAAAGTCAAATAATCCGTCTTCAATATTTTCAATGTCATTGTTCTCTAAACTAAGACTTATCAACTTTGCAAATGGTTTGAGGTCAGCTTGATGAATTTCCTTCAGTCTTCCTTTTTCAACGTAAATCATTTGAAGATTTTTAAAGAATTTATCAATCCCCTGTGGGAAATATTGGATGCTCTTGCCCTCTTTCCATGAAACAAATCCCAAAACTTCGTCATTAGTTCTTCTATATAAAGCAGTTCCAGTAACTTTAGTTATTGTTGCATTGTCAGGAGAGATTATATTCATAATGGTTCTAGTTTCACAATGATAGATGTAGTTGAGCTGATGGAATTGATAGTTGCCGCCGAAGATGCATTCTATCGAAATTTGTGAAGATGGTTTTATGCTGAGCATGCAGCAAATGAGTCTAAAAAGAAGGCAAGATTGATATAAAATTGAAATAATTATTTGCTGAATGTTCAAGCAGATCTGAATGTTCTGAGTCATGGTAGGAAGCATTTGTAACTAAGGCACAAGCTAAGGCTCCCTGATGCCGGTTATTATTCCTAGGTTGAATCCCCTAATATGAAAATGAATCCCAGAAATGAAAGTTCCAGGTCGTCCTAATTCTGCTCGAATAAGCATTCATAATGAAATTCCCCAGAGTAAATGCTAGCCTAGACTAGCATCGTCACAAGCCAGTCTGATCATTAAAATTTAAACCCAGAGATTGAAGCATGTTAGCTTGGCGGCTTGCTTACTTACTTATTACATTGGCTTTGGCGCACGTGGACTCATTGTCGCGCTTAGAGTTCGTCTGAAGACAGCTCTTTCCTTGGACACCTTCTGCCAGTTCGAAATATTCAGTACTCTAGCATCCTTTTCAACACAACCAATCCAACAGTTCTTCGGTCTTTCTCTAGCTCGACTTTATCCAGCCGAAGAAATGAGCCAACTCAATTCTACTTAAATAAGCCGCCGAAGCTTTATTTCTAGGCACCTTCAATCTCTGTATTAATACTTACAGCACAACTGCGACTTTCATCACTCAATCTTGGGTATTTTTTACACTTTTAAGTGATAATAAAGCTCAATTCAATTAAAATGTGTTGACTGCTCAAATGATGAATTTAAAATAATCACAGATTTAATTTAGAGGCACATTATCAATGAGATAGGTCAAAAAGAGCGACAAGTGAGAAGTAAATTATCAATTTAATATTCAAACACGACTTAGTGCCGATGATAATGAAATAACTCTTCAAATTTAAGCTGTATAAAATATTTGAGAGTTTTAGATTCAATGTGAATATGCCTTAAGTCCATCACGCACCCCAAATCACATATACGTTGTGATGTAAATGGGAAGCTTCTCATTTGCGCTTTTTCTTTCTTTCTTTCTTTTATGCTGCTTTATATGTTTCTTTTCTATTTTTAGAATAAATTTTGCTGCCTTTTTTTTCACTCGTCCATCTTTAAATAACTCTATGGTATGGGGTTGTGTGTGGATTTAACGAGGCAATCATATCAACACGGTGGATATTTAGTGAGACTAATCAAATATTTAATGACTTTTTCTATGAAAATGAAATATTTTTTTGAGGTTATTTTGGGTTATTTGAGGTAATTTTGGTGGAATAAATTTTTTTGTGTTTTTTTGAAAATTTTATTGTGGGTCAGGTGATGATTCTATTGCTGTCTTTTGGATTGGGTGTGCATAACTGGAATTTAAAATAATATAAATCGTATTGTGAACTTTACAAGACATCCATCAACAAGTTTGATATTTCAAAGTTACCTTGACTCACCAAATAGTCCCAAAATATCCAACCCGAATAGCACAAGTCGGTTAATCGAATAGAAATCCTGTATCAAGCCGGCATGACTCTGGCATGGTGCTGACTTCGATTTAAATCTAGCACCGTGCCAGAGTCATACTGGCTTGGTTTTGGATTTAGGATTGATTATCCGACTTGTGCTATTCTGGTAAAAAATCTTAGACATCTCTACAATTTAATCCACAACGCACAAACACACATCGACTTGAAAACAAAAATAAATTATTTCAATTTTGAGAAAGTAAAATTCGGTTCATTTATCATCTCAATAACACATATTGTACCCAAATATAAAAATAAAGACAATTGCAATGAATTTTTAAAATAAATATTTTTAACTTTTTTTTTACTTCAGGGAAATTGCAGGCAAAAAAATAGAAAGATTGAACCTAAAAATATTTTAAATTGCTTCACGTGAAGTGAAATTAAAGACAAAATTATTCGGAAATGAAATAGGGGACAGAGGATGCTGAAAAACCTTGAACAAGTGGCATAGTTAACGGAAGAAGTGAGATTGGTGGGAATGGTCAAGATGGTAGGCAGGAATATGAAGCGAGAGGAAAGAGCATAGGTCGAAGTCGATCAAATTTTTGTATGAAGGGTTGAATTAATTAATTGAGTGGGACTTTCCACTCCCTTCCACCACCTACCTGTCCCCCACCCTGTCTATGCAGCTGAGCTAGGGTACCCGACACTGTAAAACTTGCAAAAAGTTCAAAATATTGTTTAAATTTTTTAACCTAATTTCTACCCTTTTGGGAACCATTCACAAATAACGTCCCACAGTCTCAAGGTTTGAAAACTCGGGATTAATCCTGAGTTTCCACGCATTTCACAATCTGAAATGTTGCCAGAGTTCAAACGAAAAAACATATTTTCCATATAAATTTGGGGATATAGCTTTTGAGGGTTACAACCCCTTGGGTTGTATTATAGGCTCGCTAGCCTTTAGAATAATTTTCTAGTTTCACCCCTGATTAAAATAAATCCATTGACACAATTTTTAAAAGAAGTGCGAAAGGTAGAATTTGCCTTAAATTCTGAGAAGGAATTAGTTCTATTTTCTATCATTTTAGTGTCCTTCCTCACCCACCTCTATAACCCAATTGTGTTATTCTTGGTCTGTTGATTTTTAATTCTAACCTAAAAATTATTCTCAAAGCTCTACATACCTACATGACTAATATAACATGTGCAAAGTTATCAGAAAATCTAAAAAAATTCTCAGAATTTTCTCACATATTTCATAAATTTCTGCCTCTAAAATCACACGAGTTCCTCATCTATAGACACCCGAAAAGAAACAATCCACGTGCATATTAAAAGTCACGATATTAAATATGACGCAAAGTATAAATTATGATGCACAGGTGAATTTCTATAACAATAAATGAAAATTTATTGCCTGAAAAAAAATATTTTCGCACTTTTTTTTGCAATATTTTGTTTTTCTGGGAAAATGAAATTTTTTTTCATGTAATAAAAGAAAATGTTGTGCATTGGGAACTGTGAAGACGTGATCGTATTAAGTGTGTGAATGTCTTTTGTGCTTTGTCTGCTGTAATTCATATTTTCTTACTGTGGATTTATTTTTAGATTTTTTATGGATGAAAATTTCGAACTTTATGTTTTCAGCTTTTATTCTTCGACAATAATTTGAATTGATTTGCAAATTTCATTTTTAAGGTTTTATTTTTTTGGGAGATAAAAGCTGCTTTGGGTCGATGAAATGTTCATTTTTGACGTCAGAATGATTTTTCTCAACTAGATGTAAAGCTAAGTCAATGAATTTTGAGTAAACTATAAAGACTAGAAGGACATCAAATGAGAAACAACTTGTTTGTAGCCATGGGACAGGGGAGTAGCTGAAAATTATATTTTGCGGGGTTTATAGTTTTATTTTGTTGCCACAAGCTTAGTGTTCTATTCTTATTGATTCTAATGATACCCGAAAGACACAAGGCTTGATACTGGCTGACAATTCGGCATTCAATAGGCACAAAAGTGACACAATACCGGATTCTACATAATAACATGGTATCGCATTTATGCTAGGTTGACATCCATATTCACGCCGTAAGTCTTTTGGGATACCTTAATGATTAACTTAATTATTTGAACTCCAGAAAAAAATTGAAGTCATTTTTAAAAGACCTCCTTGGACCTTTCGTCCCCTGGCTACCCCTCTTCTGTGGAATGCTTCAAGATTAGAGATCATAATGTGAAGTAAGTTTGAAATATTCATGCTTAATATGTATCACGATGAGAGAACTGAACCAAAGTGAAAAATGGAACAATTATGAAACATTTGCAAGTTTTCAGCCTTTAAACTGTTCTGAAGCATCCAACATTGCTTATTTTTCTTTGGTATTTCCAATTTTGAGTTTAAGAAGCTGCGCAGGAGGCAGGAACGATCTTCACTTATAAAATTGAAATTCAATGTAAATTGATTATAATGGTTCGTTCATGCATTGATGTTCGGTGATATAATTTAAAGAATAATCTCAGCTCTTATCGTGTAATCTAATCCACGCATGGATCAACAAACATCTAAAAACAAGAGAAAACATTCCCAAGAGCCAGCATCGCATCCAAAAAATTCGCCGGTTACGATCAATAAAATCCAATTTTTGTTTACCATTGATAACACATCAATAAATTATAAACTGCAACATACTCTGCCTGCGGTGATGTAAACATGCAACATATATACGCTGTGATCGTAAAATTCCTTTTTACTTCTTGTGCTTCTTATTTTGCCAATTGATTACATTAAAAGGAAATTCTTTGAATTCTTCAAGAGACACAAACAAAAAATGTTGTTATTATTGGGACTTGATCATGAATTTGGGGAATTGAAAAAAATTGAAATTATTTAAAAGATTAAAAAAATGTTGAAAAAAGTTTAAAATATTGAAAAAATTGACAAAACATAAAAAAAAATTGAAAATATTTAAGAAATTGACAAAATTTAAAAAGATCTTAAAAATTGAAATAATTAAAAATGTATAAAAAATTTAAAATATTGAAAAATTGACAAAATTAAAATGTTGAAAAACTTGACAAAATCATGAAAATTGGAACAATTGAAAATAATTAAAAAATCAAAAAAATTAAAAAAATGAAAAAATTGAAACATTTAAAAAACATAAAATTTTCAAAAAATTGACAAAATTTAAAAAAATTTAAAATGCTGAAAAAATTGACAAAATTTAAAAAAAAATCATAAAAATTGGAATAATTGAAAATATTCAAAAAAAAACAAAAAAATTAAAAACTCCAAAAAGTTGAAAAAGTTCTGAAAATTGAAAATTTAAAATATTGAAAAAATATAAAATTGGAAGAATTGATAATATTTAACAAAAATCTAAAAAAGATTGAAATATTTAAAAAAATCTAAAAAAATTGAAAAGTGAAACTTTTCATTTTGACATTTTCACATTGTTGATTAATTGGGAAAAATTGCAAAAAGGCAAAAATTACACAATAATTGAATTTAAAATATCTTTGTCAACATAAAATGCTAGATTTGAAGCCTTGAAAGTTAGTTTAAGTCTTTACAACTCAAACCCCAAAGAACTGCATTATTGAGTAAGCCCAAAAAAAAAGCTCGAAACCCAACTTCAATTCACAACTCTCACTCTCATTCTCCCTTAACTCACAATAATAAATAAAACTATCCACAAACCACAACAAACACCAAAACTCTCTCATTCTCTTTCAAAACTCCACAAAGCAAAAAAAAAGAGGCATCAAAAAAAAAGGTGAAAAAAGAACTAAGAAAAAACCAGTTCCCCACCAATGCACAGCCAAAGCAGCTCTCTCTCGATCGCATTTCAAGTGTGCGGACAAGTAAAGTGAAAAGTAAAGCAATACTGAATAAATTCTCCCGATGCACGGCATACAAAAGTGCGAGAAGAAATTCGATTCATTTTAAATTATTCCGTTGATGTGATCGGATACGTCCGAAAGTCGGATCGCGAATTTTTTTCAATAAAATAAAAAAAAATTCTGTGTGTTTCTCATAAAAAAAGAAGAATTTTTTTGCAACTTCAATTTAATAAAAAAAAAAATAAAACAAAAGAAGAATCTGAATTTGGGGTCTTCTTATTTTTCGCGTGTGCATGGACGTACTGCTTGTGTATTTCATAAAGTAAACATTTTTTGTAATCTTTTGAGGTCAAAGTAGCGATAAAAAAATTAAATAAAATATCGCCAGAAGTGCTGTTTTTTTTGAGGTTTAAATGCACTTTTTTGAGACCGAAAAAAAAAGAGATCATAAATGCAGCGGTATTTCTCGTGTACTGTGATGTTTCCGTAATTACGCTCATGTGTGTGGCGTGAACATCGTTTTGTGGACCTTCAATGTAAAAGGAGGAACACACGAGATATGCAAAAAGAAGTGGAATGAAGTAATTGTGCAATTATCGACAAATTTTTAACAAATTATCATCGAGTTTGTTGTGAAAATATTTTTGAAAAGAGATTTTTTTGCTTGGGGGTGTGAAAAAATTACAAAAAAATTTAATTTGAGGTGGTCTTTTGAGGGGTGCAATAGCCTGTAAATTGGGCAGATTTTAGTGAAACTTTTTGAATCATTTTTGGTCGAAATAAAGGCTTGAACTTAAGAATTCAAAGATAATATTATCAAATTTCCAAAAAGGACCCACAAACTGATTGTTTTCAGACCTCAAAACATTGCTGATCAACATTCATACCTAAGCTGTTAAAATTAAAAGTTTAAAAAATTATCTTGAGCAAATTTGACTCAAACCATGTGCAAAGAGACGGAAAAAAATAATAATTCAAGTTAAATTCTAAGCCAAACAAAAATAAAATAAAAGAAGTCAAAAGGAGGACAAAACTAAAGTTGTACGTGCAATTTAAAACATAAGTTTAAGGAAGAAAGTGTGAAATTCTTATAAAATTAAGGAAACTATTCAAGTTTGTGAATTTTTTGACAATTTTGTGAATTGTGACTAGTTTCAAGATCTAACCGGTAACTTTAGTACGGTCAGATCAATTTAATAACTTGGGGTTAACGGTCACAACCTCAAAACTTTTCGACACTTCCTAAATACTTTGTAAAATTGACAAACATGACGAAAAAAATATTTTAAAAAATTGGGAAAAAAATAAGAAATTCACTGAAAAATTACAAAAATCTGTAAAAGTTTTAAAATATTTTTTAAAACTTAAACGAAAAAAATTGAAGATTTTGAAAAAAAATATTTCAAAAAAAAAAATAAAGTGCAGTGAAAAAAATTCTGTGCAATAAAAAACACACAAAAAATTGACACAACCACAATCAAAAAATAATAAATTTCAAAAAGCGATTTGCAAATGCAGAAGAGCTAGTAAATTCTCGCTGATAATAAAATAAAGTTGTGAAAAAAATGAAAAGTAAATAAATTTTCCATCAAAGGAAAAAAAAAGCACATAAGGAACTCATTTTGTGTAGCTAATTAAACACGTTTAATATCAATAATCGTCGTCATTCACAATTCAGAGAGAATAAAGTCATTTTTATTTAAAAAAAATTAAACAAATTGTGAGATTTTTTGATGCTGTGTTGTGAGGTGAAATTTGAGAGGAATTTTTGCAATCAAAAAATTAAATTACGATAGTGAAATTAATGTGGAATTTTTTTTGGAATTATTGAGGATCATTGAGAAGCTGAAAGCATAATTTTTTGAGGAGTAAAAGTGAGATTTTAAGGTAATTTTTGATATATTTTGTGAACATTACTAGTGAGTTGGCTGTTTAAAAGCTACAAAGTCATGCATCTCGTCTCTTAGTTTCGGTTTTTCGTCCAATAACTCCAGCTAGCCTCTTATAATCACACTGTCTTGAAAACAACAACTTCAATTGACACCTAAGTACATCATTGATGTTGGTTGTCTAATTGGAACTGAATCTATCTTTACTCAAGCTCCTAGTCAGCATAGTTCCAAAATTTTCCCCATTTAATCCTTGGTAACAGTAAGCAAGTCTTTATTAGCCCTAGATTGATGGTTGTCCATTTTAAAACTAATAACAAAAAGCTGTTTCAAACCATTTATTCCAGTGATGGGCAACCAGTGTGCCACGAAAACATTTAAAAAAAACCCTCAAACAGTACTCTAATGGAACAAGTCGGTTAATCAATCAGAAATTCGGCACTTAAGTAATGTAATTCTGGCATGGTGGTGGATTTTAATCGAAGCCAAAATCATACCAAACTTATGCCGGCTTGGTACCGAATTTCGATTATCCGACTTGTGCCATTCGGATTTGACATTTGGACTCACCTTAATCAGAAACGTTTAATTTAAACTTATTCTAACCTCAAAAAAATCTTACATTTTTTCTAATTCCAGTGACACAATTTGACATCTCAAAACGACCGTTAATCAACAAACACCAAGAATCGAGAATTTCAAGAACTTTTATCTTTCGAAAATCTTCTTGAATTCTCGCATCTCCACAAAGACTCATCTTAACATAACCTTAAAAAAAACTAAGAGACATACCAGATCATCAAAGCAATCAGAAGTCCTCAAAAAGTAGTGCAAAAAAGAATTTTTTTAATAGCTTTGTTGATTATCTGGCTATAAATATAAAATATATATTAATATTATACATAGTGTGAGAATGATTGAAGTAAACATGACCCGCAGCTATATACAAAAAGTCAGTACAGAAGTGAATGTGCAGTGCGAGGATACTCAGCTCAGTTCTTGTCATTGTGAGAGGAGAAAAATGAAAATAAATCGAAAAAAGTCAACAAAACTTTTCAGTCATAAATTCCTGCTTATTTTTCTCATTGGATTTGTGTCCTGCGTCCATAGTTTGTCATATGCTGAGACATCGTCAGTAAGCAGTATTCAAATGAAGAAATTTGTTGAGGATTCACAGGATGTGTCGACAACGAGTGAGGATGATGATAGTGAGGAATTTGATGATTATGAGACGCCGCATCAGCGGGAGGAAGTAGCAAGGAAATATCAGGAACAGTCAATAAAATATGAAACTCTTAAAAAGTCACAGAATAGTCATGAAAATGTACATCATGAGATTCATGAGCTTCCAACTCCAACAACAAATTCACCATCAAAATGCTCAGGATCGTGTCTGGACAGGCAAGCTAAAGAAACTGAGGCACTTGATGCATTCAAAAAGACACTTCTTATGAAGCTTGGCATTGAAAAGCCACCAAATGTGACAAAGGCATACTCAGTGCCTGAACATATCCTCGAAGGACTTTGTAAGAAAATGAATATGCCAATTGAATATTGCACGAATAAACAGCCAAATTATAAAAATCTTGAATATCAATCGGATGATCCCAACAGTTATGGACAAGATCATATCATTGAGCAAACTGAGGATGTGCAGTACAATGCTGTTGAGAATAGAATTTATGCTTTTCCTAAATGTGAGTATGGGTTTTATTTATTTATTGGATTTTTTTGGGATATTCTTCGAAAGGATGCGAAATGCCATTGGTTTGGTTCAGTAAATTGACTAAGGGGCTCTTTTTATAGGTCTTGAATGGTTCTGGGGCGTCTCCTTTGTGTAAATTAATTGTAGTTACAATACCTTGACTTGGGTCCCCTGTTCAAGGCATTTCTGTCTACTGAGTAGCTATAATGATCAGGGTAATGTTCATCACGTTCAATAAGAATCCCTTGGTTAAGTTCCTTGCCTAATGTTCCCATCGAATTCACCAAACTGAGCATATGACAGTCTACATTATGAGGTTGGATGATTGAATGTAAAACTGAGTCAGTTGCGAGAATGACTTAATCTTATCACAAAAAGTGAAGGAAATTTCTTTTTTTTTCTTCTTCATACTTTGTTGTGCAATCTGTTGATTACTTCTTATTTTTTTTCATCACGTAAATAAAACTGAACTGAACTTGATGGTCCAAAGGTTCATTAAGAAAAGTGTGAGTGTGACGAAATTTCAGTGTTGGTAGAATCGTTGCTATTTCTGGGGGTGTCCTGGTTTTTTTTTTTGGAGTATTTTTTTCAAAGGTTTGAGAATTTTTGGAAGCAATTTCAATATTGAGTTGGGACAGGGGAGGGGGGGGGGAGTCACTTGGCTACACCAATAAGTTTTGAGTTCTCTTCAGTTCAATTGCCATATATGGTCAAAAATGGTGCATGACACTAGAAAAGATCAATTCATTGTCAAAAATTGTTGTTTATCTTATCAGACGTGCTTGAATTAAAAATTGTGACCTAAATCTTTTGACAGTTTCATGATTGATTGAGGTTTTATGCACTTCAATTTTCTGACTTGCAGTTTTAGGTACTCTGTGGATGCTTGATGCTTAATTGAATTTTTCAAAATGATTGTTGTACCAGGAGTCGACTTCTAGGGATACTCTTAACCCAAATGATCCTATCGCCTCTTTCAAAGACTTAATCTAGACATAAAAGAATTCTTTGACAACTTTAGCAAGTGCCAATGCTAAAAGCAGAGACTGGCTCCTTTCAATAATGTCTTTTTAAGTCTAAGAATCCTCAAATTCTTTCAAAAGTCACACATGCCTCCTACACAAGTTCACATAATTCCAAAAACATCCAACAAAATTTTCCCAATCGATTTAATTCCTTAAAAAAACATTTCAATAAACAAAAATTTTTCTAAAATTTCTCCAGACGACCACGAAAATAAATAAAACAAAAAAAAAATAAAAAAAAATGTTAATTCGTGCACGGAATCGATTGGAAATAGCAATGAAATGCAAAAAAAAACTTTCTTTTCTTCCCTTTAAAAAAATTCTAATTTCTCCCCTTTTTTCGCATTCAGCAAAAAAAAATAAAAAGTTTTTATCAAATTTCACTTCTCATTTATGCATGAATATCTACCCGAGCTACGTACGTGTACACAAAAAAAAAATACTCAAAAGTGCGGATAATGACATGCAAAATCAATAAAATGTGAAATATAGTCGTACGGCAGTAGTTTTTTATATTCAATTTTTTTTTTATAAATTACACTTTTGCGAACTCTAGTTCAAAGGTGCAATTTTTAATGTTTCATGCTTTTTGTATTTTTATTTTTATTTTTTGTTTCGTCGAAAGTGCACTGTACGCAGTAGTTGTGGTATAGCCTTATGCTGTATGCGAATATGGATAAATATATAAGCAGAAAACTGAATAAAAAAGGGGGGAAATGAGCGATAAATTGATACGTGCGCGTAAATTTCTCTTTTATTGTTGTTTTGTTCCAAAAGTCCCTTGGATTGACTTCGCTGGATTTTGGTTAGTATTTTTTGGGAGGCTAGCTTGGCATGACCTTCCTGGATATTGTCATTCAATCAAAAATTTTGCAGATTTTTAGACAAATTAAAGTAAATCTCTAGAATGCCCGCTTAACCCCATGTGACGTCCCCTAAGAAATTCTGACGAAAATCCCTTTACATTACCTTTCTTCGGTCCGGTTAGAGTCTCCGTGGTCAGCGAATGTAAAGCAATAAGTTTACACAAAATGCAATGAAATATGAAGGCAGCAGCAGCAGAAAGGAATTGGAAAAATAAGAAAATGTTGAAGTGTTTCATGTAATTACATGTAAAAGGTGATGGGAAAGGTTTTATTCCATGTTTTTTTGGAGCTTACAATGTAATTGAAGTTGTGTGGGGGTGTGTGGAGGTTATGTAATGTTGATCAGGATCGTATGATGCTGGGGATTGTCTTGGTTGGTGGGATTTTGAGGTTATGTTATGATTTGAATGTTAAAATTGTGGTTTTAAAAAATCAAGTTTGGATTCTTACTTACAAGTTTGGATTCTAACCTAAAAATTTAGATTTTAACCTAAAATTTCGATTCTAACCTTAAAATGTTGATTATAACCTCAAATATGGTGCTAAATCTTCAAATTTAGATGTTACCTTAGGAATTAAGTTTCAAACTTCTAAGCTAAGTTGTTGAGAATCTAACCTCAAATTTTAAAAATTCTAACCTCAAAAGATGCAAATCCTAAGTCCCAAAACTGACCCACTAACCCCGTCTTTTACCTCCTCAATTACAGTCATTCATCCCCATATTAATTTCTATTCCCAATGCTTTATGTGAGGGGGTGTAGCTACACTATAACTCGATCTTCATTTATTTTGCATTTATTCCCTATTACAATTTGCGTAATTTTACCTTTTGTTTATTTATTTATTTTCCATTTCATTAAAAATGCAAATTGTAGTGTTTCTCTTTTTAAAATTTATTCACATTCTTTTGAGGAGTTGGAGGGAAAATTCCGAGAACTTCTGACTCTGTTTTGAATAAGCTTTGGTAGGAGAAGCTGAGTTGTGGGTTTTGTGATTTGCGTGGGGGTCTGTTTGATGATGAGGATCTGGATTGATGGGGACATGTCGACTTTTTTGGGCTTTTGAGGATGTAAAGCATCCAATGGGGATCTGTGTGAGCGTTAAGAGGTTCATAACCTCAATTGAATTCTAAAAATATCCAAATGACCTCCAAAACTTCAATCAAAAATCACAAATTTCGTCACTTTCAAACAATTCTTTTATTTCTGTAACCAAAACCCAGAAAAACAAAAATTAATTACAGTTAAAATTAAAAATGCCTTAAGTCAACAAAAAATTATGTTCGCATCAAATTTCCGCTCACTTCTGTTCATGCGCCACAAGCCTTACCATAAACAAAATCACGATCGTAACATGATCACCATTTATAAATTTCATGACTCATTACCTCCTGTGTTGTGTTACATTTGACGATTTTCGGAATTAAATTGAAAATTTTTGCAACATTTTGTCATTTTCAAGCCTGCAACAATTTATGGGACTTTAAAAAAATACATTTCACCATCGGACAAGCCATTAAGTTCTTAAACCCATTCAATGGAACTCAATTTTCAATGCGTCACCTTGACCGGCACTAAAGTGAACCAAAAAAATGCATCGAATAAAGGAAATCCGATTAAATGTGCAACAATGTAGTCATAAAAACGTATTAAAATGTGCAATTATTAACCCATAATGGACCTTTTGCAATTAATCGTATTTTAAAATTTATTATACAATATTCAATAATTCTTTTATTTTTGTGGGTGTGGAACGGAGCGTGTTGGCATTTATTGACATTATTGAGGGTCAGGAATTAAAAAGGGTTGTTTATTGGATGATGTGAGAGTGAGTTATGAGGATATTTTGAAATTTATTGCATTAAACCTTCTGCTATAGCTTTACTAGGGGCCAATCACAGTCGTACTCCTCCCTCTGACCCCTAAAGCCTTAAAACAGCGTCAGAACCCCTAGCAGTCCTGAAATTGGGACCTAGAATGTGTCTTTTGTGCTCAAACTCCCCCTACACCCCTGATGGTCACTTCTGCAGCACTAAACCCCTCATCATCCTCAAAAATCAATTCAATCACGAGCCACAAAAATTCACCTTGACTTTTAGCATCAAAATTTCAACAAGTCTTTCCAATTCTCAATTCCCAAAACGACGATTGCAATACAAAAAAAAAGTTGAAGGATTAAAGCAGGTTAAGAAGTAAGAAATCAAAAGAGACCAAAAGATCCAATATCTCATGCACATTGTGTTGCTATTATATTCTCACACATTCTTCATTCCTCCCGTCCCGATCTTCCTTTGTTCTTCTCAACAAAAAACCAGTTTTTTTACTTCTCTCAAAATTGAATACAATAAATCGCGCTAGAAACTGCATTTTGCCTTTTTTTTTTCATCATCATTTAGCTCCCAATCTGCGGCTACACCTGCCACTGAATCAATTTGACCTTTTTAATCCTTCTCAACACGATTTTTTTTTATTGTTGTTCTGTTCACTTCGTTTTAACATCATTTGATTGCTATTATTATGCGCTATTGTATAACAAATTGAAATAGATGTGAATAGAGTCCAGTGATGGGCAACCCATGTGCTGCGGTGCACTATTATGCATTGAAATCCCACGAACTGTATGTTATGCATTTTACCTATCATGATTTATTATCAAGATGTGCCATGACACAAAAAAAGGTTGCCCAGCACTGGAATAGACCAAAAAAAGACGTGCTGATGAATGGAAGACGAAGGAAAAAGAAGAAGAAGAAGAAGGAAGAAATTAATTTTATTGCATTACTGAATAGAAATACAAGTCGGGGAGTGTTAAAAAAAGGATATGAAGACATAATGAGGATCTTTTTTATGTTTGATGAATGAATTTTTTTTCTATTAATTTCTTTCGTGACTTAAAAAAGTCAATTGACGGTAAAAACTAGAGGATATGGGATAATGTTGTGTGATTGATCAGGTGTGATGGATCTATAAATGAGAATATGACAAGAATGTAGAGTCCTGACAATCCATGCCACTCATTGCTTGGATGTGGAGATGATCATGAAATGCTAAGGCAAATTTGGAAGTCTCTGAAGATTGACACTGATTTTAGGGGTTCTAAAG